TTATTTCAATTTTTAAAGTTGTTTTGGTTTATTCATATCTTCTAATTTTAGGTTAATTTTAATAATTTATAATTTTGTCCCTTTCATCTCAAGTTTAAATCCATGAATAACAAAGAAGAAGGTGAGCAAACTTTGGAGACCCAGGAGCATAAAATTAGACTTGTGCAAAACATGGATATTTTAGCATAAAAATGTAAATAGCAAAAAAAGAGATAAAGGGATGAAACTTTATTATGGAGGTCATAATTCCAGGGGTTGGCTAATTTGTTCTAAGTACATTTCTCCACAGAGACTCATCTGTCCTCTTTATGGGATATTGGTGAGAAATAAGATTTTCATAAACAACATCTTTGGGACAGCTATTTTACATTAAATAACATTTCTCAAAAATGTGGTGCATTGCCATGGTGTCTCTAAGACATTTCAGAGAATCAGGTCAAATTATTTTTTTGGTAATACTAAGATACTATTTGCTTTTTTTTTTACTGTGTTAATTTTTTTCATTAATAATGCAAAAGCAATAGTGAGTAAAATTGCTGGTTCCTTAACAGAATCAAGACAGTGGTAAAAAACTGTACTAGTAGTGCTTTTAGTTTTCACCATATACATGCAGTTATAAAACTGTTTGTTGAAGCAGTATTACTGATTTTATTAAATCTTCACTCTTAAACATATACCTTTTTAATAATCTCTATGAAGAAAAAGAGAAGAATGCATAAAGCACTTTTGCATTACACTGAAAGCCAATGGATGGTTGCCTCAAGGAAAAGCCTTCATTTCATCTGTTTTAGTTGAGAGTTGAACTTTCCCATGGTACATTTTTACTTGAATGATTGACAGATTGGTTATTCAAACATGGATATTTGGCATTATTTATTGCAAGTGATAAGGTTTGAGCTTTCAACAAAAATAATACTTTAGAAAACTTGAACCCACCACAGTGAGCTTGACTACTGTCCAATAATTAAATAACTTTTGGTTAAGGTTGGTGGTAATATTAACAAATGTAGCTTTTTTGATATTCTATAATGAAGTGTGTCAATATTTGGGAGTTATGCATAAATCAGCAAAACATTATTTTCCAAACGCTGAGTGCACTGAGGAAATACCAGAAATTGAAAGGAGTATCAGGATAGGTAGTCAAGTACAGCAAGAAGAAAGACTGCCATTTTGTGAATAGATTCATTCACCATGTTTGATCCCTTCTTTTAGCATAAATTCTCTGATAGAAGAAACCTCAGCTCTCCTACAAATATTTCACTATTGGGTAACCTCCAGTTCTCTTTTCAAGCTCACAGATACGTATAAGCACAGCTTTATATCTTTATAGGTCTTAAAGTCCCCTACAGTATTATTATAGTACTATTAATTTCTTTATGTCTGTTAATATTGCTTTATATGTTTAGGTGCTCATTGTGGGTGCATATTGTTTGCAATTGTTATACCCTCTTGTTGGATTGATCACTTTAGCATTATGTAATGCCCTTGTCTTTTGTTATAAACTTTGTTTTGAAGTCTGTTTTATCTGATGTAAGTATTGTTTCTCTGGCTTTTTTTTTTTTGGCTTCCACATGCATGGAATATCTTTTGCCATTCCTTCACTTTCAGTCTGTATATACATGGGTCTTGTTTCTTTATCAAGTACCCTTTGGTCACCCTATGTCTTTTGATTGGAGCATTTAGTCCATTTTTATTTAAAGTAATTATTGATAGGTATGTAGTTATTGCCATTTTATTAAATGTTTCCTGGTTTAGTTGTTTTTCACTGAACCTTTCTTCCTCTCTTGAACTCCCCTTGTGCACTACAACTTAATGTTATGTTTGGATACCCTTCTCTTTGTTTTTATGTCTATTCATTTTAGATTTTGGCCTGTGGTTACCATGGGGTTCTTTTATGACATCCTACATAACATATATAGCAAAATATGATAAGTTGATGGTCACTTAAGTTTGAACACATTGTAACAACACTGCATTTTTTACACTTTCTCTTCTAAGGGAATTATATGTGTATGATGCCTTTTACACATTTTTATTTGATGATGCCCTTAACTAATTTTTAAAAATGTAATTGATTTTATTATTTTTGTTTCTTGACCTTCCTACTCACTTTTAAGTGATTGATGATGATATGTTTCCTTTTATGAGTGAAATTTTCCCTTTATACATTTTTCTTCTATTTAGGATCTTTTCCTCTTAAAGAAGGTTCTTTAATATTTCTTCTAAGGCTGGTTCAGTGCTGATGAGCTGTTAACTCATGTTACCTGTGAAGCTTTTTATCTCCCCTTCCATTATGAATGATAACATTTCTGGGTAGACTATTTATTCCTGGTTGTAGGTCTTTCTCTTTCAGCACTTGGAATATATCATTCCACTCCCTTATGGCCTGTAGAGTTTCTCCTGAAAAATGAGCTGATCCGTGTATGGGGTTTCCTTTGTATGTAGCTCATGGCTTTTCTCTTGCTGTTTTTGATTTGCTCTTTGTCTTTAATCTTTGACATTTTAATTATGATGTATCTTGGTGTGGACCTCCTTCGGTTTATCTTGTTTAGGGCTCTCTGTGCTTACTGGACCTGGGTGTCTGCTTCTTTCCTTAGGTTAGGGAATTTTTCCGCTATTATTTCTTCAAATAATTTTCTACTCCTTTCTCTCTTTTCCCTCTGCCTATAATGAGAATGTTTGGACATTTAATATTGTCTCAGAACTCCCTTAATCTATCTTCATTTCTTTTTATTCTTTTTTATTTCTGCTGTTCAGCTCAAATGCTTTCCATTACTCTGTCTTCCAAATTTGCTGGTCCATTCTTCTGCATCCTCTATAATCTGCTATTGATTCCCTCTACTGTATTTTTCATTTCATTTATTGTACTCTTCGTCGCTGAATGGTTCTGTTTTATATTTTCTATCTCTTTGTAGAGGTTCTCACTGAGTTCCTCCACTCTCCTCTTTATCTGGCAGATTGTTTAACTCTGTTTCATTTAGTTATTTTTCTGAAGTTTTGTCATGTCCTTTTGTTTCAAGCATATTACTCTGTCTCATTTTGTTTGACTTTCTCTGCTTGATTCTATGAATTAGCAAAAAGGGCTACCTTTTCCAGTCTTGAAGGACTGGCCTTGTGTAGGTAATGTGCCCTAGGTAGACTGTGTGTGCTTGGAGGTTTTAGCTGACAAGCTGGAAGCCTAGTGAGCATGAGCTGGGGTGTCCTGGTGTCAGGGCTCCAAGGGTATGGTTGGAGGGGCCCATTTGGAGGGCCACAATCAGAACAGCTCCTGAGTGGATAACAGTGGAGCCCATACTGGTGAGGAAACAACATGTCCAGGTGCATTCTCCAGGAAGCCCTGGCTCCACAGCTACTGGGGCCATGCCTACCATGCAGCAGTAGCTTCGACAGGTTTTCCAGTGGTGGGCAGTGACAGGTTCTGCACCCATCATGGAGCAACAGCCCAGATACAACTCTCCCATGGTTGTCAGTGACTCACTTTGCACGATGGTGCTGTCCCAGTGCCAGGTATGGCCCCAGAAAGTCCTAGCTCTGTAGCTACTGACTCCCAGTCCATAGTTCAGCAGCAGCTTGGATGTGCCATGAGAACTGGCTTGAGGGAACCCCACAGCTATTTGGTTGGTGCCCAGGGTACATTCTCCAGGAGTCAGTGGTGACTGGCTCTGTGCCCTCTGGACAGCCACAGTGCAAATGTGCTCTTTGACTGATGTGTCTAGGTGTGGGCAGGGCCTGGGAAGACGTTTAAACCAAGACTGAAATTAGTGTGTGTTCCTGCTTCCCATGTCTCTGTTAATGTAGGGAAGGAGTGCAAACAACAGTGCTTGCCAGACCTTAGATCTGGAGAGAGTTCCAGCTCTTCCCTAGCCAAATGGTGGGTGCTTTCATTCTATAAGTCTGTTTTTCTCACTTATATTCTAGTTGTATTTTGAAATGTGGCTTTTTTCCATACCCCTGGACAGGGAATCTCCATCCTGCCCTGTCAGCAATATCCCTCCCCACTGTGGATCATCGCACTGGGGGTGGGGTTCCCTCTGTTACCATGTCTGCCTGTCTCCTGCCATTTTTTTTATGTGCTTCTTCTATCCCTCATTGTGCAGAGGTGCTCGTTCAGTCCTTGGCTCTTCCTCAAGGTAAACTGCTCTGTGTACAGGTGTAGATCTAGTATGAACATGGGAGGAGGTGGGTTCAAGCTCTCTATACCACCATCTTCCCAGAACTCCTACATTTGCTTTCCTACAGTTATTAAACATGCTGCACCTATTTTAGAATCCTTACTTATTGGTGTAATAACTGTTTTCCCAAACTGGTCTAAATCACAGTATTGACATAAAATCTTAGGCATAAAAATAGACTACACAATCGGTAGGGCTAGTCTCTAACTCTTTGTATTTGACTATGCATATGACAAGATGTAGTAGAGCAAACTGTTCTACTGAGTATAATACACAAGAGATATTATTGCATTCAGACCAAAGGATTTTTGCCATTGAAGTAAGTACTTCCAGTTTTCACAGAATTAAGTACAACTCAATAAATCCTATTATATTTCAAATTTAATGCTGTGGCTACTCAAAACATCCTATTTACAGGAATATTTGTAGTTTTTTTTGACAAAGCTACTATGAAAACTTACTTAACTCTTCAACAGTTGCCTTTTTCTACTTATATTGAAAGATGGAAAGAAATAGACATAAAATGTTACGCAAAATAAAATAATTTTATATTGTTTTAAATATATATAAATAAAGTAAATAGCTTCATTTGCATACTTACTACATTACAGTATAATGCGTCATCATCATAATTAAAAGGAATTTTCAATCCTGGACATAGATTATACAGTGCCTCTAGCCTAGAACATGGTAACTGGTAGGTACCTCAACAAATGATAATTCTTTTCGTTTTGTTCCACATGTAGCTAATTCTGTCGTAAAGGTTTAGAAAGTCATATTTAATCTGGCACAGTTTAACATTCTAAAAATGCATTAATTTTCCCACAGATGAAAAGAAGTGAAAAGTTGATAACAAAAAATCACAATCAAGAAGACATAAATATTCTTTGTTGTTGGAAATGTAGAAAATGTATACCAAGTTCTGGTTGTTTCATGAAATACCTTGAGAATCAAGTGAGTAAGGTGAGTACTGCTAACTCTTATCTTCAACTTCTTACTATAGGAATGGTGTTGGGCACACCCACAGGTGCACACATATCCCTCCACACCTGACTCAGCTTTCACCATATCCTGACCCACTGAAAACATTTCAAAATGGTATTCAAAAGGCATGCCACCTTCCACAGTTACCATTAAATTTACCTTTAGCTGCTAATGTTAATATGACCTTAAAGTTTTAAGTGTAGTATCATACATGTAAGTTGGAGATAAAGGTCCATGTTTATTTCAGTCCCTGTCATTGAGTGAACCTTAGTCATTATAACACAATCAAATTCAAAATCGTGTTAAGAAGTGGAAAATCTATTTATATGTATATAAGTGGATATATCAAAGAGTTACAAACTAGATTTAATCCATGGACTTTACAAGGAGGTCTCAATTTAAAGAGAGTGGCTGTAATCACCTATTACTATTTTCTTTTGCTTTTTTGAGAGACACTCAGTTTTTGTTTTGTTTAGTTTTTTGTCTCAGCCACATTTGATCTTAATTATTCCTCTTCACTCTAACAAATTAGCCAACTCAAACTGATAATAGTAAATAACTTTGTTTGCATACTTACCACATGTGAGATACTTCTTAAAAACTGACAGAACATTTTAATTGGGAAAAAAAACTTTTCATTCTAAGAGTGTTCTGAGTATAATTTACAAAGAGAAAAAATTGGTAAGCATATAGCTTGATAAATTTTTTCAGCCATGCTCTGAACAAATCAAGATATACATTTCCTTCACCCCAGAAAGTTGCCTTCCTCTTTTCTAGGCACTAGTCTCCCTAAGACTACTGATACCTATCTGCATAGGCAAGTTTTGCCTGTTTATAACCTTCATTCAAATCAAATCACAGCAAGTACTCTTTAGTACCTGACTTATTTTGCTCAGCATAATGTTTTAGAGATTCATTTATGTTTTGTGTGTATTTATAGTTTCTTTTTTTACTGAGTAGTATGTCATATATGACTATCTGGCCATTTATCAGTTTTTTTCTGCTGATAGACATTTAAAATTCCAGTTTTGGGTTATGAATAAAACTGCTATGAGTATTCTCATAAGAGACATTCTGTGTTTGTGTTTAGTTATTTCTTTTTGATATAGACATAGGAATGAATTTTGGGGGTCATAGAATAGGTATATTTTCATTTTTTTAGAAACTGCTGGTAGTACTCCAAAGTGAATGTTCATTTCCAACAGCAATGATGAGAATTCCAGTTGCTCTATATCTTGGCTAACATTTGGTGTTTTCAGTCTCTGGTTTTAGCCATGCTGGTAGATGTATAGTGGTATATCGTTGTAGTTTAATTTGCACTTCCCTAGTGACTAATGATGTTAAGTATTTTCTTATGTGTTTATTGGCTAGGCATTGTTTCAAATGTTTTATGTTATTTGTACCTTACAGTATAGGGACAGATTCTCTTGAAGGAGATTTTCTTCATAAAGAAGGAAACTAAGGCACAGAAGATTAAATAATTTGCCCCAGATCACATTTTTACCAAGTAGTACAACTGCAACTGGACACAATGGCGAGGGTCCAGAGCCAGTTCACTTAACCCACATTCTCTTTGCTGCTTTGCTCTTCCCTCAGGATATCATGCAATTTCATACATTCTCAATAGAGTACATGTTCCTTTTTATTTATCTGAAGAACTACCACTCACTGATTTATTTAACAAATATTTGATGAGCAAGAACATTTCCAGTGCTGCCCTAGAATGTACTGGGATGGGATGTGGAAGAGTGATACAGAGTCAGAGACACACTCCATCCCTCCGAAAACAGGCCAGCCTTGTAGTCTAGTTTGATAAGCACTGCAACAGAGGAATACAAACAGTAGAAGACTGCCGCCTGGGCTAGTCACAGAAGCTTCCCAGAAGAAGACAAGAGTAGAAACAGCAGGAGTGGGGTGGTGCAGAGGAAGGGGAGGAGGCGCAGGGGAGGAAGAGGAAAAATATATATGCATAGATACGTAGTAGCTTCTAAAGTATAATTTGTAAAGCATAAAACTCAAAATTGAAAGAATACAATTCAATGATAAAGTTTTGAGTTGTGCAAACACCACTACAATATAGTTTTAAAACCTTTCCTTTACCCTAGAAAACTTCCTTAAGTCCCTTTGCCTTGTACTCATGCCCAGCCCCAGGCAACCACTCATCTGCTTTTTGTCTTTAAAGCTTTATATGTAAAATAAAAAGTATATGTACATACATAATAAATATATAAAACTCTTGAAACTATCTTATATAAAATATTTATATAAAATATATAATTTTGCTAAATATATTTATATTAAATATATATTATATGTATATAAAATAAGAGATACATCTATAAAACCTTTTAAAAACCAGGCTAAGGAATAATTCAATATGATTGTTATTAGGGGGAAAGGAAGAGTATGCAATCATAGAGGGATCCTAAGAGTGCCTCTAAAGCAGTATCATGTACTTATTAAACTGGGTAGTAGATACATTGGTATTTACTTTTCTTTAAATCTTTCTTTATACCAACATGTTTTACATTTTGCAAATGTATACATTTCATAAAAATATTAAAGATGAACAAAATGGGATCTGTTTCAGTTAAAGAGAACTCAAATAAAATATTGGGATCTAAAAGTAACTTTATCAGATACTATGCTGAAAGAATGCTAAATTTACCACCTATCAAGTTATCCTAATTATTATTTATTAAAACAACAGTACAGTTAAAAAATATATGTGTATAAAATAACTTGTTTCTTAATGTGTTTTGTTTATGTATTTCCTATAAATGAGATTGAACCATGGGTAGGTGTTCTTATGTAAATTGCTTTTACTTAATATCACCATATTTAGTGCAGTTCATTTATTTTCACTTTTTTTAGACCAGTATATTAATATGTCACAGTTTATAATTCCTTCTACTAAACATCTGTACACTTGAGCTATATGTGGTTGCTTTGCTCTTACAAACAGTACTGCTGTGAACTGTCCTGTACATATCTTGACCCACTTGGGCAGGAGTGTATTACTAGAAGTAGAGTTATAGCATGGTGTAGGGTATGTGCATATTCAACTTTAGTGGGCAGTGGTAAGCTGTTTTCAAATGACAGTGCCTTTAGCATTGGTTGAGCATTGTTGTGATTCCACATCTTTGCCAATATTTAACATCTTTTCATTCTCTGAAACCATTCGTGTTTTCTGTGAAATGTCTTTTTTTCTTGGCCTTTTGATTAGGGAGTTTTGTTTTTATTTTTAGAAGGTTTTTTTGTATTCTAAATACTAATCCTTTGTTGATTATTTTTATTACAAATACCTTTTTCAGTTTCTATAACTTGTATTTCACTCTTTGTGGTATCTTCTGATGAACAGAAGCTCAAAATAGAATGTAGATGAATTTATTAATCATCATCTTTGTGTTTTTATTTTTTGTTTAAGAAATCTCTCTATATTGTGGAAGGAAGATTTCTTCCCTTTTCTGCTCCTGATTACTAAAGTTGAGATAAGCAAGTTTCCTTCTGTGTTCATCTGAGCAACAGGCTTTTTTCTCTTTTACCCTAATACTGAGATGACAGCCAGCTCTATATAGGGGTTACCCCTTAGGGTTTCTGTATCCTTAGCAAACCCTAGACTTTGTCTCCTGTCTTCCGCACCCCATGCAGACATGAAATGGCCCTCAGAACAACATAAAGTGTCAGGAAACTGGGGTAACAGCACCTATTACTGTTGGCTCCTGGACCACACATTTTTAGCCCTAACCAATGCTAGGAAATGGAAGTCTCACACTCTGCCTCTCAGCCCCCACAAAACTAAGAAATGGACACTGGATCCCTCACTTTTCCTGCAGAGTACCTCTGGAACCAAGCTTTCTAGAAGAAACAGGCAGATACAGTTATCACTTCTGCTTTCATAATATTGAAAAGATATATCAGCTTAGTGGAAGTAGGTCATGTGTGGAACTTGAGCTGTAAGGGAATCTGGGACATTTGAGCTTTAGTTTTATAGCCACTGGCATGTAGTAAGGCATGAGGGAATTTAGAATGGAATTTTGAAGCAATCTAAACCCAACAGGGAGAAAAGAGGACTTCTATTCCCACCTTCAGGCCTAGGATACATGAAATTTGGACAGGAACCAAAAGCAAAACCAAATAACAATGAAAATCCCAAGAACACAAAAAATAAAATAACAGAAATGATGTTGGTGGTGGCAGGGGAAATTGTTTCTACAGTTATAGTAGTTTTTAGACAGTTTTGATATAGTTTGGGCATGTCAAGTTTATGTGGCCTATAGAACATTCAAATAAATATTTCTAGGAGGCTATTGGTTTTATGGATATTGGATTCAGAACAGAAATCTATACTAAAAATGTGGATTTTGGAATCTTCAGCGTATAAGTGGTGAGTGAAGCTGTAAGAGTAGATTAAATTATTATGTAGAATGTAAATGGAGTGAGAAAGAAGAGGGCATAGGAATGTTTAAAGGATGGACAGGAAAAAAGGGCGCTCACGAAGTAGGAAAAAGAGAGTAGCAAGAATGATCTGAAAACAGGATACAGTGTTACCGAAGTCAAGGGAAAAACATCTTACAGGAGGAATTGATTAGTTTTATTGAATATTGTGGGGAGATGCAGAAGATCAGACACTGCCTTCAGTGTGCAGGTTGTACACTGCCCAGTTCTAGAGGGTGCTAGTCTGTGAAAGGTGATCCCCAGATTTGTACAGAACTATGTGGCCATGTGTAGAGACCCTGAATGAGAATTAAAAGTGTGCCTTGGTTTTGGTGAAGAGATCTTTGGTCAATGTTCATTGTAGTTGTGATAGTTGTAGGGACAGGTATCAGGTTGCACTGAGTTGAGGGAAATGAGGACTGAGCAAAGAAAGGTCCAACACTTACTAAAAAGCATTATAATATTGGGCTTTGATTCTGCTACCAGGCTTTATAACAGTATTGCCAATACAGTGGTGGCCATAAATATTAATGAATATTGAA